GCAAACACACTTCTAACGGGGCCCTGCTCATAGAGACATACTTGTACATACGCACACATACTTATGGGGACATGTATGCAAACAACGCATCACATGGCAGACACACAGACACATGTACACACACAGCAGACAACACCCTCCAAATGGGCACACACACACACCTGTGCACTCCACCCCCCACCTCCCAGGGACACACAGACGTACACACATGCACCCTCACGTGGGCACACACACACACACACACACACTTGCACACAGGCGACTGTGCCCTCGGTCCGAGACTGGCCCTGCTTGAGGCAACTGAGCACTGCACCAGAGTGGTGGAAGGCCGGCTTCCGCAGCTCCCAGCTGGGTGGCCCTGGATGCCTCCTGTGTCCCTGAGCCTGGCGTTTGGGGAACTGGCAGGGAGTAGCTCCCCGGGTGGGACCATTTTCTCAGGACTCTCAGCCGCGGGGATGCATGAGCAGATGGGCCACTCAAAGGCGGCCGAGTCTCCTGGACCCTGTAAGCCAAAGAACCCTGGCGGGTCGCCCACCTACCCAGGCAGTGTGGAACTGTGGCCTGCTAGGGGCCCACTGCTGGGGTGGGGGGCGTGTTTACATTTCACTGGCGTGGAGCAGAATGGGTCCTCGGCCCCACCCCTCCTGGCTCCCAGCATGAGCAGGCGGGGTCCTGCTGGGCCCCGCCCCCTAGAGATGAGGTCTGTCTGCCTGCCCCGCCCAGCTGCCCACAGCCTGAGTCCCGGGAGGGCCTGTCCACCTTTGGGCGTTGCTGTGCCAGTCTGTCACTACTCCACATTCCTCCCCGCGTCGAGTTTGTCTTCCGCGCACCCAGCCCTGGGCCCGGGGCCGTAACTTATTTGTCTGGCTTCTCCGAGGTGTTTGCATTTGTTCTCAGGTGGTCTTGTGGGTGTCTTTAGGAAAATGGTTATTTTATATGATTTGGGTCATGGAATTTGTTCTAATAAATCATCCTACCGCATGGGGGCACAGCGGCGTCTTTCATCTTGGCCTGGCTTCTCCCTCCGGGATGTCTGCAATGGGGGGCCCTCTGTCACCCCAGCGGGGCTGCACAGAGTGGGAGAGTGAAAATTCAACAAGACTCAGGGCCACCCGAGGCTGCAGTTCCGGGATGCTGCCGCTAGGTGGCGGCGTAATGGAGAAAGCACAGGGACATTTCTGGGTGTTTCCGCCTTAAAAATAGGAACTGTTGTCTGTTGTGGCAAAAGCCAGGAGCCCTCTGAAGATGTGCCAGATGCAGCAGGGGTCGGGGGAGACCGGTGTCCACATGGAGACCTACCCCTTCCTGGCTCCTGAGAGAGGCAGCGAGGTGACCGTACACGGTGTCAGCACCCTTCACGTCCACCGCTGTCACCACCACCGGCAGAGCGGCGCTCCCAGACATGGAGCTCACTCTGTCCTAGAACAGCTCTGGGTCCAGGGAGGTTCTTGGTACTGGGATGGGCTTGGACCCTGGAGTGGCCCTGCCTCCTGTCCGAGGGAGGCCCTGGCAGCCCGGGCCTGCAGGCAGGCAGACAAAGCCCTGTGGTGGGCTCTGGGGGACGGGCAGGAGGGCGACCATGAGTGGACACACACAGCCCTTAGAAGCTGGGGCCTGGGTCTGCCCTCAGATGGCCATCAGATGTCCTCCCTTTGGGAAGCCCAGTGCAGGCACATGTGGGGCCAGTGGACAGACAGTTAGGCTTGTGGGAGGGGACTGCATGTCTGGTGGCTTGTGGTCTAGCCCCCTCCCCATTCCTCCTGATGGCTCAAGAGACCAAGGACTTTTATAACACTGCCCACCTGGATGTTCCTGGAGACAGGCTCAAGGATGGGAGGTGGCAGTTGAGCCACCAGACACTGAGGCCAGACTTTCATTTCTGACCCTGTCCCACTCACCTGCCCCTCAGACTGCATGGGCCTCCGATGTAGCCCTCACACAGGACTCTACTCCAGAAGGGGCCACCACAGCAGGAGAAGTGTAGCAAAAAGCTGGGGACGAGGATGTTCATAATACGCGTGAGTGGGAGCTCAGCAGGGAGGCCGGAAAGGGCCAGCTGGGGTTAAGCAGAGAAGCAGTCCCAGCTGTGTGTTACTGACACTGCACACCCTACGGGGCCTCAGACATGTCTATGCTACTCTGCCTGAGGAACACATAGGAACCCAGTGGTGGGGGAGGAGGCCGAGGCAGCCACAGGCCAAGACCATGACACGGCAGAGGAGCTGTGCCCAGGCTGTGAGGCGGAGCAGTGGGCTTTCTGGCCCAGGAAATGAATAAAAGTGAATGCCTTTGGCCAGGAGGCTGGATCGCAGAGCAGGATGCCCTCTGGGCATTTATCTACCCCCAAGGTGTAACATTGCCGAAGCAGGGCAGAGGCCCAGCAAAGACCACGAGGCCGATCGGCTGAGAGAGAGGAGCCTGTGGTCAAGGAGCAGAAGCACGTTGGATACAGAACTGCATCTTCCAGCTGCCCTTCTCACCGTAACCTCTCGTGTGGCGTGGTAGACTTCTGCATGCTGGCTGTGGCTACTATAATGCCAGGGGAGGGAGTTCTCTGCCGTGCTAATGCGGGGCACCAGAGGGCGCGAACCTGGGCACCACCCCTTGTTCCCTCGCGGTACGGTCTGCTAAAAGATGCAACCCCACCTCCATCTGTCCACTGTGTTGATGTGCCATCTCAGGAGCAGAGCACCCCACCCCACCCCAGAAGAAGAGCCATCCCTGGGGCACATTGGAGACTTCCGTCTGACATGGCCAGGGTCGAGACCAGGGACACCAGAGACTGTAACATGAGGGACTGTGGGCAGAACAAAGTGGCCTGGCCGAGACCAGAGGCCCAGGAAAGGAGACCTGGGGACAGAAGGGAGGAGCAGCGCCCAGACCATGGGACTGTGAGGCCAAGCAGCAGGCAGGACCCCAGGCCCACAGAGGCAGCGGCCCAGTGACCACGTGGCTGAGAGGCTGAGAGAGAGGCTGGAACCTGGGTTGTGCATCCTTCCCCTTTGGCCCAGGCACCAGGGAGCCACCCCAGGAGGGAGGCTGGGCCACTCCCAAGCTGATCCGGCCCCTCTCCCCAAGAACCCGGTACGGCTGCCGGGCAGATGGAGGTTTGAGCCTCCTCAGTAGCACCTGGAAGACGTGGGGCACAGCTGTACCCCGACCTGCTCTGCTTCATGGTGACGGTTATTACAATGGTGTCAAAACCACTTGCATCATGGGAAGTGAAACCAGCAGCCGCTCTCTGGGTGACGCCCGGGGGCCCAGGGCTTCCTCCAGCTTGCTTCCTCTTCTTTGAAGACCACCACTCAGGCAGGAGTAGCACCCACCCTCATGACCCCCTGGCTCGATTACATGTGCAAAGACTCTTCCCAACAAGGTTATGCTCACAGGTACAGGGGGTGGGGCTTGGGCACACTAGGGGGCCACCAACTGACCCCTATGCTGAGCCTGGAGCCACAGGCCCTGCTCCCTCACCTTGATGCAGAGGCTGGTCTCCATAGGACTCCAACGGCGGCGGTGGCAGCTGCTCCATCCAAACCTGCCTCGGGGCTCCTCTGGAGCAAGGTGCCACTGTCTGCTCCCAGGACCAGACCCTCTCCGAGTCCAGGGACAGTTCCCTGCCCTGTAGGGTCACTGGGAGTCGACAGGACTCCGCGGCCAGGGGGCTCTGGCTCCAGGCTGCTGAGCAGGCATGAATGTCAAGTCTGAAAAGGGACATGTTGATGGGTTCTGGGCATGATTCTCAAGCAAACCAAGCCTTGAGGTTCCCAGTTGTTCTGGCCTGGCTGCCTCCACCCCAAAGACCCCAAAGGCCCGGCAGGACCAGCACTCTGGGTGGGCCAGAACCAGGGGCGCCTGCTGTGGCAGGGGAGGCCTGGCCCCAAGCCAAGCCAGGCAGAGGCTCAGTGCCTGGGGCTCCCTTACCCTGCCTGGCCCCCTGTGGTTAGGGCTGGTCTCACCTGAACCATATCTTCCGAGGCACCTGAAACAGCACCCTGGATGGGCCCCCATGGACTACCCCCTCCAACCAGGAACTCCAGGCAAGAGAAGTAGACGGCCAACCCAGGGCGGCCACGGGGGTGCTCCAAGGGCTACAGCATTGTGCATCCAGGGACCCCAGTGTGGGTGGGGGAGTCCCACCTGGGATGGAGCTGAGCTCTGGCCACTTCGGCTTTGCACACAGGTCAATGGTCACTCCCATGTTCTCCACCATGGGGACCCCAGCTGCACCCTCTCACTCTATGTTGGGGTCCCAGGCATGGCCCCCACATACTCTACCAAGAAGTTTCTAGCCGCCTCCATTTCCCAGTGTCCCTTGCAGCAAGCCCTGTGGGGGAGCTCTAATCCACTGGTCACTCTGTGGGAGAAAGACGAGGCTTTCTTCTCTGGTAAAAGTTACAGTCTTGGAAACCCATAGAGGAAATTCTACACTGCCCTTTAGGGTCCCTTCGAAACCAAGGCAGGGAGTTAAGTTTTTCTCTTGCAGCAAAGTGAACTGCAGCCCTGTGACAAGTTTGGCACTGTCCTGGGGTGTTCAGGAAGTCAGCGCGGCCAGGACCCCGAAGTGCTGGCTGTGCTCTAGTGGCCACAGGGGCCACGAGTCTCCCAGCCACACCTAGGGCTTAGGGGCCGAGAACTGGAGGGAACCTAGACGGAACCTGGCTAAGGTGAGAGAGAAGCAAAACCTACTCAGCCCCAGAGGCCACGATAAACTGAATAAGGTATTCAGGCCACGAGAGGGCTTGGGCTCCCAGCGAACACTAGGCTACTAGAGCAGTAGTCTACGCTCACTGTTCTGAGTGGCAGCCGTGGTGGCAGTCCCCGTGTCCATAGCTTGCTGAGGGCCTTCCTCTCTTCCCTGCTGCCCGCTGCTGTACCATACATGCTGTCTTCTCCTGGGACTGGCATCTCCTGGCAACAGGTCCAAAGGACGCGAGACACAGGCTTGCCGTCCTCGCCTCTAAGGAGCGCTCCGGCTTTACTGCTTCCAAGACTGGTGGGTTTGTCCTTTTAGCAGTCCACGGTACATTCCCTATCCTTCCCCAGCACCACAGCTCAAACGCTTCGATTCCTCTTCAGTCTTCTTGATTCCGGGTTCAACTATCACATGCGTATGAGGCAATGGGAAATATTACAGCCTCGATCAGGCACACCCTAGCCGTCAAAAAAACATCCTCGCTCTTCAACACTCTAAAAGAGGTCTTGTGCAGCCGATTGACCCAATGCAATGCACCCTGGGATCTCCTGACTGCTGCTTCCCGAGCACTGAGTATGGATCCAAGCAGGACAAGATCCTTGGCCACGCCCACCTTCACTCTGCGTAGCACGCTGCCACCCGTTGTGCAGTTGAGAGGACGCTCCTCTTCTGGGCGCTGAGCTGGAGTCCACACTGCGCTCAGGCGTTTGGAACATGGCAGCGATCAGCGGGGAGCACAGAGACACGGGTGAGCACACGCTGTCGCGAACATGGCGCCCACCAGCTGTAAGGTTCACCGTAGCTCTCGCACACGCTATAAAGGGAGGGGTGCCTGAGAATTTCTGTTCTGCTAAATCTCTGCCTTTGGTCTCAGGCCACCTATCCTGACCCAAGGGCCTGTGACCGTGGTGCCCCCACTCCTAGAGGCCAAGTTCCCAAGCTCCCCACCCTGTAGCCCGCCCGCCCTCCAACTGTCTGTCCTGAAGGGGAGGGGACCCAGAGCCCAAGAGGAAGTGGTCAGAAGAGGAGCAGCAGCTGCAGAGAAGAGCCAGTGGTGGGGTGGTGGAGCAGCGCGGCAGGCCAGGGCTGGACAGCATGGACACCAAGCCTGCGGGCCCAGAGGTGCGTGATGGCTGGGCTGGGCCAGCGAGGACAGGCTGGCTCCTGGCAAGCTGACAGCCCTGCCTTCTGCCTGGCCTGGGACCCCAGCTGTGCCATCCTGCAAACAGAGCAGGAAGTAGGGGTCCACAGGCTGCTCCTCAAGGGCTGTAAAGGCTCACTGGCACCCCCACAGAGGCCTAAAAAGTCCGGAGATAGGGCATTCTCTCCAAATGGCTGGCCTCATGTAGGGACCAGGACGCACAGAACCGCGTGGGCACCGGCCTCCTCAGGCCAGGCCAGGTTGGCACTGCTGGGACCATGGAGCTGTGGGTAACAGCTATGGGGACCTGTGGCCCCAGAATTGGGGACATTTAGGGAACAAAGGTTGTTCCCACATGGAGCAGGAAGGTTGGGGGCAGCTTCTTCAAGGACAGACCTCTGGGGACTCCTTTGGCCCATCCCACTTGGGGTGCCACATGGCTGCCTCGCTGCGCGCATCGGCCCCCATTGTCCCAGGGAGGGGGATGTGGGCCACTGGAGGAGGGGGCCTCTGGGCTATGCTGGGGGGAACCTGGGCACTACTCCGAGAGGACCACAGTCTCTATTGGGGGGCACCCTGGACCCTGTTGGGGAGTCCTAGGGCTGTAAGGGGTGCCAAGATTTCATCCAGTCTCCCTAGTATCTCTGGTGCTTCCAGCCCCTATCTCAGTAGATTTTTGGGGTCTCATACCCCATATTGCCCTCAGGTCTCCTGAGGGTCCCTCCAAGGGACCTGTTGGACAGAGCCCAAGAGGAAGCCCCAAACCACATGTTCCCCGTGCCCCACCCCCATCCAAGGTGGGAGGAAGGGACTCTCATTTCGGACAGCACAGGACACCAGCTGCCTGGCCCCATGGTGGACCCGCTGGCCTCTGGGAGCAGCCTGCTCACTCCACCCCAAGGAGGGAGGGAGCCCAGCTCTCCGGCCATGACGGGCCTCTGTGTCTGGACAGGGTTGGGGCTGGGGTGGGGCACAGCCCACTGGGGAGAGACAGGTTATTTATAGGTCAAAGTGCTGGCAGACACTTCCTGACTTGTTTGCCTGTGGGTGAAACAGGGAAGTGAGATATGTGTACAAGACCCCCGGGAGGAGCAGGCAGGGGGTGGAGGGACTTACAGCCAGCCACACCCCCACCGTGTGCGTCCCCTTCCCCCTTCCCGCCTTGGCACACACCATAAACAAGCAAACCAAACCAGGTCCCTCTGAGAGGCCCGGCCCAGTGCCCCATGCAGCTCCCAGCAGAACCGTGCCCACAGGGGGTGCAGGGCTAATGAGTGGGAAGACCAACAGCCAGGCCTTTCCTCCATGGCACCTCGGGGTGTACCTAGCCTCCAGGCTCAGGGACCGCCAGGGCAGCCAAGTGTGCTGCATGCGGGCCCTAGTGGGAGCCCAGGGGCTCAAAGGGCCCAGCACTCCACGTCTGCATGAAGCCACTCCAAAGGGCGGGTGCACAGAGGTCTCTGTGGTTCTGGGGGTGCCTTGCGGAGGTGCTCACCACAGGGGTGTCCAGGCTCAGCAGCCCAGCTATCCGTGCTGGTGACATCGGGCTGCCCTCACAGGTGGCGCAGAGACCCCGAGGGCCCCCCTCGTGGCCCTGCTACACATCCCTCCACAGCCCACATGGCATCCAGACCAGCAAGGTAGGATGGAGTGCTGAGGGAGGGACAGACAGGGCAGCGGCCCCACAGGACTTCTGGGCCAGAGGGGGGAGGCCAGGCCCCAGTCAGCCTCAGGGCCTCTGGGGGCACAGGCCACCCGATCAGCCAGCGGGTCTCCTGCAGGCCTCAACCACGGGGGTAGGTGGAGTGGACAGTGACCTCGAGGCTGCGGCATGAGGGGTGGGGTCTGCAGCCATACCACCCAGGATAAGCCCCATCTCATCACAGGGGACCCGGACCGCCCCAGTGTCCCATCCCCCCGGGGCACCATCCCCCAACCAGTTATAGCCCCTCTCAGATAGCAGGTCTCCATCCTGGAGCGCCCAGAATGACCTTGTCTCCACTGCAGGTCCTCGGGGCCCTGGCTCTGCTGGGCCTGGGGGCCCTGACTTTTGCCTTGCTCCTGTGGCAAGCACTCCCTCCTCCCACCTGGGGGGTCCAGGGACACCCTGAGGAGGAGTCCTCTGGATCCTGGGGCAGCCACTCCCGCCTGGCCTGGGGGCATCAGGGAGAAGAAGTGGGGTCCATGGAATCAAAGGACCAGTGCCAGTGAGTGGGCTGGGCTCCACACCAGGCCCTGGAAGGGTGGGCCCATGGGGTTGTTGGGCGTGGGCTCCTGCAGGGCGGTGCAGCAGTGCCTCTGGGCATTACTGCCCACCTGCCCTCCCCCACCCCCTTGGTCCTGCACACCTGGAGACAAGCCCCTCTGCTGGGTCAATGACCCTGGACCCTGGGCTTCTGCCGGGTATTGGAGGTCAGGGTGGAGTCCGGCCCCCAGTGGGTCACCCTTGTTCTGACACCTGCTCGATGTCCCCTCCCCACTTCGCAGGCTTGCTCTCGTGGAGAGCCTGCCCCAGGGCGTGAACATGTCCGGCCCAGTGGCCCAGCCCCTGGCTGAGGCCTGGCTGAGGCTCCTTGACGCTGCCCAGAAAAGCGTCCACGTGGCCTCCTACTACTGGTCCCTCACCGGCACTGACATTGGGGTCAACGACTCGTCCTCCCAGCTGGTGCGCACCGCCACCCCCCATCCTGTTCTAGAGCTGAGGACCCTGCCCATGGCTGTGGGGGAGTGAGGGCATCAGGCTCGCTCTTGGAGGTGGGGGGGTGGGGCTGGAAGACTGAGCTCTGAGATGGCTCCAATGACTGGTCTTCCCAGCCCAGGGCTTGGCCTAATGCTGAGCTGTAGGTAGCTGGGTAGTCTCTGGGGTGAGGTTTGGGGCCTGGTGAGAGCAGAGGGCCTGCTGGACCCCCAGGGGGAGGCCCTGCTGCAGCGGCTGAAGCAGCTCCTGGACAAGAACGTCTCCCTGGCCGTGGCCACCAGCAACCCGACACTGGCCATCAAGTCCACCGACCTGCAGCTGCTGGCGGCCCATGGTAGGTGCTTGTGTGGTCAGTGGGTCAGCGCCCCGGGAAGAGGGCAGAGAAGAAAGCAGGGCTGCCTGGTGAGAGGCTGGGAGAACCCCGTTGCCACATCTCTCCAGGCCCAGGGGGTGGAGGGGTGTCTGCGAGGGATGCATGGAGTTCCTGGGACCCTCACGGGCTCTCCTTGCCCCTGAACCTGGCCAGGTGCTCAGGTGCGGCGGGTGCCCATGGGGAAGCTCACCAGGGGCGTTTTGCACTCCAAGTTCTGGGTCGTGGATGGGCAGCACGTCTACCTGGGCAGCGCCAACATGGACTGGCGGTCGCTGACCCAGGTGAGTCCAGGGTGCAGGGGGCAGGTCCCCAAGGGCGCCACCTTCCTTCTCTCCTCCCTGGGGACTTTGCAGAAACCAGATTCCTGCAGAGCACATGCGGCCTCAGAATTCAGTGTGTGCTAACGGTCAGCGGACAACAGAGATGGTTCAGTCAATTGAGGAGCCTTCTGGCTGGAAGAGAGACCCCAGGGATGGGGGGGGGGGCACACAGGGCCCCTTAGAAATCACAGCACCAACGCACCTGTCAGAAGACAGACGTGGACGGTTGATGGGCAGCTAGGCATTGCTGCAGAATTGGTGATTTTAATTTGTTTTGATCTTCAGACTAGTGTCCTCTCTGGGTCCACTCCACTGTCTATTCAAGAGTCACCGGCAGGGTCTGCACCCCACATGCCCAGCCTGGGTGGGGGGCATGCGGCCTCGCCCTGGCTGTCGCCCTGGTCTGGTCTGCAGGTGATGCTGCAGTTCGGGTACTCAGTGGGGGCTTCATCCCCCATATGCCTTGCTGCCTCCCACTGGCCACAGCCCCGGCTCTGGTCCGCAGGTAAAGGAACTGGGGATCATTATATACAACTGCAGCCGCTTGGCCCAGGACTTGGACAAGACCTTCCAGACCTACTGGGCGCTGGGTGCTCCGGGGGCCACTCTTCCCCTGGTCTGGCCTCAGAACTTCTCGTCCCACATAAACCGCATCCAGCCCTTCCGTGCCCACTTCGAAGGAATGCCCACCACCGCCTACTTCTCGGTGAGGGGTTGAGCTGTTCTTCTTCCCCCATCCCAGTGGCCCCAGGGCTAGCAAGCGCTCACAGCCCCTCCTGCAGGCTTCGCCACCCGCGCTCTGTCCCCACGGCCGCACGCGAGACCTGGACGCACTGCTGGCTGTGATGGGAGCGGCCCGGGACTTCCTCTACGTCTCAGTCATGGACTATTTCCCCACCACCCGCTTCAGCCACCCAGCCAGGTATGGAGGCAGGGCCAGGGTGGGTGGGGGCGGGGACAGAGCGAACGGGACTGGGATGGGCGGGGCCAAGGGTGGGTGGGGCTAGGATGGGCGGTGGCAGGGTCAGAGTGGGGCGGGGCTAGGACGGGTGGGATGGGGCAGGAGTGGGTGGGGTGTAGCGTGGGCCAGGGGTGTGGCGTGGGCAGGTCACTAGCCTGGAACACCCACTGGCCCGCCCTGCCCCAGGTACTGGCCAGTGCTGGACAATGCACTGCGGGCTGCCGCCTTCAGCAGGAGGGTCCACGTGAGGCTGCTGGTCAGCTGCTGGCTCCACACGGACCCCTCCATGTTCCCCTACTTGCGGTCGCTGCAGGCTCTCCATAACCCAGCAGCTGGTGTGGTTCTGAATGTGGTAAGGGCCCGGCCAGGTCTTGGGGGGCACCCCAGGGACAGCCCTTCCTCTCGCCTGCTGCCTGACACCCTCTGTGCCCCAAGCGAGTGTTCATCGTGCCAGTTGGGAACCACTCGGGCATCCCGTTCAGCAGAATGGACCACAGCAAGTTCATGGTCACGGAGAAGGCGGCCTACATTGGTAAGTGGCTTGGCAGGGGCTGATGTGGCCACTTAAACCCATAAGGAGACAAACCATGGCTTTGTGCCCACATGGGTCCTCAGAGTGGAGGGGCTGCTGAAGGGGTCTGAGCCACACAGGCGACATGGCCACACTGGACAGGCCTGAAAACCCTGGTCACCTGGCCCCTGGCTGGGCTGCCAGGAGCTCTGGGAGGGTCCCCAGCACCAGCTGGTGACCCTCAGCATGGATGAGACCAGAGGCCAGTGCCCCTCCCCCACTCCCAGGCACCTCCAACTGGTCGGAAGACTACTTCAGCAGCACCTCAGGCGTGGGCCTGGTGGCCAGTCAGAGGGGTCCGCATGCCCCGCCAGGGTCCCTCACCGTTCAGGAGCAGCTGCGACAGCTCTTTGAGAGGGACTGGGACTCCCCCTACGCCGTGGGCCTGGATGGACAGGCGCCGGGCCAGGATTGCGTGTGGCAGGCCTGAGACCAGCCTTGAGGCTCCAGGATACTGTTCCCACCCCCACTACCCCTCCTGCCCAAGTCTTGGGCCAGGGCCAGGACTGCTTACTGACGCTGGACCACTCTGGGGTCCTTTCTGCCCTCCAGCCCCACCCCTGCTAAACCTCACCTCCTCCAGGGAGGACTCAGACCCACTGCCTTCCAGTTGGTCCTCACCCACAGCGACCCCAGACAGTAAATCTTTCCTTTTTTTATTTTTCACTTAAATCTGAGACTGTACATTTTTGTGGCAGCAGACAGCCTCGGCTTTCTCTCCCAGAGGCGCTGGTGGGTTTGAACTGCTGCCCTTGAGTTTAGCAGCTCAATGCTTGGCCACTGCACCTCTAGGGTGACCTCCGAGATCCTGCTCCATCTGAGCGTCCAGCACCGCAGTCCTAGTCTGCTGGTCCCAACTGACAGGCCCACCTAGCACTCTGCTGAGGCTGGTCCCCATGCGGCCACCAGTGTCCGGTGGGGCCATGGGATAGTGGGACAGTGCATCACAGCGTGGATGGACCCTTGCCCATCTCCTGCCCAGTTCTAGAGCGGAAGCCACAGTTGGCTTGGGGGGCGGGGGTGGAAAGCAGGATCTGGGTGGGGATCCTGTGTGCCAGCATGTGTGGGCAGGGTTCACACTTCAGGGCGGGGTCCAGGCTGTGGGTTGGGACTTAGACCTCAGAGCTGGGCTCTGGTTGTACAATTGGGGTTTAGGGGTGAGCCCAGGAGGGCTGGGTGCCAGATGGCAGGGAGGGGATGCGGGGTGGGGCTAGCACGCAGAGTGGGTCTCATGCCTGGTACGCTGGGGAAGGCTTGCATTTGGGATGCAGGGGGACTCTGAGTAGGGCCTGGATCCTGGGAAGCACTTGGTCACCTGCAGAAGAGGCCGCTGACCCTGTGTGTGGTCACCAAGCCCGGCCCTTTGACTCTAAGTACTGGGTCAGTACCTGACTGGGTGCTCCTGGCACCTTGGGGCCCACCTGGGGACCCACTTCAGATGGAGGGACCCTGGACACCAGGCTGTGATTGGGCGGGGTCCCTGGTGCTGAAAGGGTGCCAAGCACCAAGGAGCTGGGTATCAGTGCAGACCCTCTCCTGTTTTCCCAGAGCCTTGGCAATCTTGGGGCTCACACCTACCTCTCCAGTTCCATCATTCTCAGAACTCCCTGCCCCCCATCCCAATCTACACAGGCCCAGTACAAAGCCTTAGGTATGAGCCTCTCCCTGAAACCCCTATGTGTCCACGCTGCTCCAGGGCTCAACACCCCATCTCTGCTGGCCTCCAAACCCAGGCTGCCCAAGGCCAGCCAGGAAAACAGTGATCAGTGACCCACCTACTGGTGTCACTCCTGGCTGTCCCCGGCCCACAGGCACCTCGGGAAGCAGGTTCTGCCCATCTGCCCCCTAGTGCCCGGAGCTTGATCTCTCTCTCTCTCTCTCTCTCTCTCTCTCTCTCACACACACACACACACACACACACACACACACACACACACACACACGATACCAGGAGGGCGCTGTGCCATAGCCTCACCCCAAGATGGAGTTGGAAGCTGTGTTGAGAGGCCGGCTATGCTTAGCCAGGCCAGGCCCTTCAGGGACACATTAGGTCTGGACACTGCCCTCAAGCCTGCTCCAAGAGGCTCCAAAGAAGACTCAAATGATGAGACTCGGTGACATGGCTCAGGTGCCTATGTTCCTACCCTTGTGCTACCCCCACCCCAAGTGCAGGCCAGAGCTTCTACTCACATGCAACTGACAGCCAGGTACCAGCCCTGTGACCTCTGTGGTCACAGGGCTCAGACCATAACAGTTGTGAGAATGATGTACCGGGGGCCACGTGACAGGACAGTCCATCCACCCTGCTAGGAGGTTTTCCCATACTTGCTTTGAGGAAGCAGACTGCCCTCTGGAGAGGCCCATGTGGCCAGAGACTGAGCACAGGAAGCGGAGACCCTCAGTTGCACATGCCCCAGTTAAGCCTTAGCTGAGACCACAGCCCCAGTCACTCCCGGTACAGCCCCCACGATCCTGAGCATACCCCTGTGGAAAAAGGAGACCGCAGCAGCTGCCTGAAGCTGCTGCAGTGTTATTACAGGCTGGGGCCCAGAAAGCTTGGGTCGGTTGGGGGGGGGGGGCGGTGTCCTCACCCAGCAGCTTGCCTGTCCCACAGCCCACTGCCCAGACTTGACTCCAGAGAAGTCAAAGGGGCCTGTGGGCTGTCAAACCTGGGGGACTCTGCTGACATCTACCCTTTCTCACAATATTGGGGCAGCCTCCCACACCTGGGGGCTCTACTGACCCCTACACCCTTTCATTACATGGGACAGCCTTCCCGCACCTGGGGCACTCTGCTGACTAACACCCCCTCTCCCCACTGTGGGTCAGTCTCCCCAGACCTGGGGCTCAGCTGGCTTCTCCCTATTGCACCCCACCCAGGGCTGCAGGCACCCAGCAGTCATTCCTCTGCAGATGGCCCCTGTCACCAACCACAGGAGTGATGGACTTGCCCTCCGTGATATCCCAGCCGCTAGTCCCCCTGCTGGTCACCACCCAGTGCTCGGAGGGGTTCAGGGCAGCCCTGGGGCCACAGTGTCCTGGAAAAGCCCCTCAGCTCTTGTCCCCACACCCATAGCTCAGAGAACTTGTCATCAGCAGCCAGCCTGGCCAGGGAAGAGGCTGCTGCCCACTCGGAGTGCTAAGTCCCCACTGGCCTGGGGTGGGGGTGGGGGCGCCCCAGAGAATGGCTGTGGAAAACCAAACCTCTTAAAGGTCACTCTGCCCCTACTGGGGGCTTAATCCCTGTGTGCAGCCCAGAGAAAGTGTGACCAGGGACACAGCCGCCAGTCTTGACACTTGGCCCCTATTGTGCCATTACCACTCTGTACCCTGCCACCTCAGCACTGCTCTCTGGTTGTGTGTGTTTATGTGTGTGTGTGTGCACACGTGTCTTTACATGTATGTATGGCACACCTGCATATGTCTGTCTCTGTATATTGCCTGTGCACATGTCTGTCTATTCATGTTTGTGTATGTGACTGTGTTCATGTGTGTGACACATATGGTGTGTCTGTGTTCATGTTTATCTGTGTGTGACGTATGGTGTCTGTTGGTTCATGTGTGTATGTGACTCTATGTTGTGTGTGTTTATGTGCGTTGTCCCCAGCCAGATAGTGAGCTCAGAGGACTGTTCTCTGTCCCTCTGTGCACCACTGCTGAGTGACCAATGAAGGTCAGCAAAATGACCAGCCAGTGAAATACCCACTCCCAGACCCACTCAGGCCTGGACGGGGGTACCCGGGGGGGACACACAGGAGCATGGAAGCACAGCAGTGATCTGGGGGTGCCTGCTGTCTTTGTCCTCCCCAAGCGCAGCCAGCTGGCTGCTGGATCTGGTCGCTACAGGGTGGGAGCTGTGTGCGGTAGAGGGGGCCATGCTGCTCTGCCAGACCCTGGCAGGTGCCTTCCAAGTCCAGTGTCACCTGTCATCCCCTTCACCACCACCCTGATGCCCTGCTCGCGTCCCACCCCACAGAGCACCCCAAGCCTGTCCTAGCAAGGACCTGTCACTGAGCACTTGTCCCAGCACAGGTGAGCAGGCAGCGGGCCACCTGGATTAGACAGGACCCAGTCTCTGGAAGAAAGAGCATCTTGGAGCGTAGGACAGACCACCCCGAGGCTGCACTCTCCCCCGACCCCCCACCACACCCCTGTGCACAAAGAAGAGTGGCCAAGAACTCCTGGGAATATGCATGGCTCCCGCCTTTATTCAGCCAAGACTTCTCCCTGGTCTTGCACTACTGCATGTCTTAGGAAAGGCAGAGGGATGCCTGGTCCCCAGGTCTGGGGGAGCTGGGAACACCTGGGAGCCTATTTCAGGATGGAGGACAGGGTGAGGACCACTTGATCTTGGTGCTGTGGGCGGGGCGGGGGGCGGGGCGGCAGCAGGGGACAGCTGTGGAAATGCTGACATGGCCTAGAGCCAGCCTGCTTCGCCCTCACTTGGTGGGGGACCTAGGAGCAGCCTTGGGGGCAGCCTGTGGCCCTGGATCCAGCTGTACCAGCTCGGTCCTCGCAGCAGAAGCCACCGTCCCACTGGAGCCCGGTGTACCTTCCTCTTGGTCTTCAGGGGACAGGCTTTCTCGAGCATCAAAAAAGATGACTGCTTCCTCTTGGCGCTCCGGCTCCACCTGAGCGCTCCCCGCCGCACAGCTCTCCCTCGGCTCGGCTGGAGCAGAGGAGAACCCTAATCTGGGAAATCGGAACCAACCGGCCTTCTCGGGCCTTTCAGGCAGCTCTGCCCCCGGCCTCGCCTCAGGCTGCGTCTGGATGGGCGCGCAGGCCTGGCTGGCACCCAAGGGGTCGTGCTGAGTCTCCTCCACAGAGGACGAAAAGCCGATGTTGGGAAGCCAGAAGCGGAACAGACCCGGAACAGCCTTCTTACTCGCTGGCCTCTCCTTGGAGCCACCATCCTCCTCAGCAGGCACCTCCTGGCTGTCCTCCAGGGAGAACTCCAGGATTTCCGCCGGCTCCTCATCACTGTCGGCAAGCTGGGGGCTGGTGGGCCCTTCGGGCAGGCTCCCCTGTGGCCTGGGGGCACCAGCACCGGGCAAGATGATCTCAAAGGGCTCTTCAGTGTCATGCTGCAGGTCTGCAGACACAGGGTCTGCTCCCGGGGTGGCCTGCTTGTCAGCTGCAGAGCCCTGTGTGGCTGTGGGCACACCAGCCTGGGGCCAGGGCCCTGGGATTCTGACCTTCAGCAGGGAGAAGCCATAGGAGGGCGTCTGGACCTCAGAGGTGGGGACCTCAGACTCTCGCACAACCTGAGTGTAAAGGGCCTCAGAGGGCTCGGGTGTGACCCTGCTCCGGATGGTGACAGCCCGGCTCTCTGCTGGGGTGCTCTGAAGGTGCACTCGCACCTTGGAGGTGGGCAGATCTGTGTCCGAGGGCTGCTCCAGGGGGACCCCAGTGCTGAGCTGCGGGGTGCTGGCCACCCACAGGCCAGGGCCTGTCCCTGGACACAGCTCTTCTCTCACAGAGGGGATGAAGATGTCCTCACCTGCGCCAGGGGCACAGAATGTAAATCTTGGTACTTTCAACTTGGGGAACGTGACAGTGACGACGGAGCTCTCCCAGGGCCGCTCCATCTGGATGAGGGACACCTGGGCCGGCACCCTGGTCTGTGAAGTCTTCAGCGTCACAGGCCCTTCGATGTATTGATCCACGCTCAGAGCATCCGGCCCCCCGAGGGGAGCCTGGCCCTCTGACAGAATCCCACCATCAGGTACCTGCAGGGAAAGGGAGTCATCACCAGGCTGGACCCCAGGCTCAGGGACAGATAGCTCGGTGGGAGCCATTCGGGCAGTGGGGAAGGACAGTGTCAAGCTGGGGCCGGGGACACTTTTTTGCAGGCCATCCACAGACGCCTGGGTCTCACAGGCCATTCCACTCAGGTCGGCGTCTGTAGGCTAAAGGGCCATGGCTGCCCCATGGCTGTCTCTGGGACACGGGCCTCCGGGATCTGGACTCCAGCTGCCGTGTCACCACCTTGAGCCATGGGACCACGAGCCACGCCCTTCTCCTTGGGGGTTGCACGCCTGAAGCCAGGCATGTGGAACTTGGGTGCTCGGAACCAGCCCTCCTGTGAGCCCACCTGCACCCAGGGCACGCAGGCATCTCCCTCGCTGCTCTCCACTGGGCGGGTGTCAGTACCCAGTGGAGCCCCAGCTGGGAGGATTCCCTCATCCATGCAGGGGACCATGCTTTCCCCGAAGCTGTCTGCAAGCCCGCCCTCGCCACTGCCCACCCTGTGGGATGGAACATGCCCTTGCCAGCTCACCTCCACCTTGGCCTCTCTCTGGTCCACGCTGGCATGTCCTGGGGATGGTGTGTTGGCAGAGGGACAGTGCTGGCCGCTCTTGGGGAGGGTTGCTGGAGAGCCCTTGCCCTTGGAGAAGGAGAGCTTGCGCAAGACAAACCTGGCCCTTCTTGTGCCCCCCTTGGCACCTTCCTTCTCAGGGGGAAGGTCTGAGTGCACTTCCACCAGGGGGGCCGGTACTCCTGTCTGGGCACTAGGCTGACTAGATTCTGGCTCCAAACCAAGACCCACAGGCTCGGGGCTGCCCTCAGGTGCCCTCGGCAGCCCAGCCTCCTTCTTGGGAGACCTGCTGAGTGAAGGGAGCGTCAGCCTGGGCATCCTGAAGGGGATGCCCTTCCCGTCACGCTCAGTACCCTCCGGGGCGGCTTCCCCAGGCAGGTCAGGGCCAGGATGGGTGGCTTGCCCTGTGGGGACGGTGCTGGCCACTGAAGGCAGCACCATTCCAGGTAGATGGGATGCTCGCTCATTCCCTCCTGCGAGGCTCCCGCACTCAGAAGCAGTTGTTGCTGCCGCTGATACCACAAACCTCGGTTTGAAAAATTTAGGAAACATCACTCGTCCATATGTGGCTTGAACGAGGACACCTGCAGGCCCGGGGATGGTGGCCGCCTGGAAGGCCAGGGCTCTGGTCTGAGAATGTCCCTCTGCTGAGCCTTCCTGGCTGATAGAGTCCCCATCCGAGGGTGGCCCAGGGATATGATCATGAGGAAACTCTGTCTTAGGAATGGCCACAGCAGTCCCCTCTGTCACCTGGAACTTGGTGAGGGTGACATCATGGCTGGAACTGTCACGATCAGGCAAAGCCGTGGGGGAGACCAGCTGCGACCAGGCGCCACAAGACCCTTCTAGCTCAGAAGCAGGAGGCCTGGGCTGAGAGGAGAGCCCAGAAACGGCTGGAGCAGCGGTGAGCTCCTGTGCCTGGCCAGACACAACGGGGACTTCAGAGGACGTCTGGCGTGAGAGAAAGACCACGGGCAACGTCAAATGAGGTTTCCTCCCTTTGTGCTGTACAGGATCTTCCACTGTGGGGTGAGCCACAGAAACATCACTAGGTCCATCGGAAAGGTCAGGGGCATGAACACACGAGGTGGAATCCACTACCGATGGGGCCAAATTCACGTCAAGGCCGGAGACATGTTCATCTGCCTGGGACAGATTCATGGACAAATGGCTAAATGAGGGCATGCTAACACTGGGAAGATGGAATCGACTATCCTTGCAGGGCAGAACGGGCTCTTCCAGAGAAGCTGCACATTCCAACATGGCACTAGGAGGCTGAACATCCAATACCTCACGGGGTAGGGGCATATCAAGGGCACTGGAAGCCTCCTCACACTTGAGGGCCTGGAAGTTCATGTTGGGGCCCTGAAAGACCACATTGACATCACTGGATTTCTCATTGCCCTCGATACTGGGAAGGGACACTTTCACGTGTGGCTCGGGCAGAGACATGTCGGCCGCAGCCTCCATGGACTTGCCTGGCGTGCTCACGCCAAAGGATGGCATCTTGAAGGAGGGCATCTTGAACTTGCCCTCCTTGGTCTTGAGGTCCTTG